CGCTCCCAGGCAGTTTGGCAACCCCCGATCCCCAACTGCCCACTCAGTTGCTGGTGCGGCCGCTCTCCTGTGCAGTATAGCTGTCCCTCCGATAAGCCCCCTCCATTCCCATGTTATGGAAAACAATTGATTCCAGGCACATCCCATTTTCCTGGCACAATCAAAGCCAGACCTACCTTTAAAAGGTCACATTGGTGGTCCTAGCTCTTACCGTTTAGGACTAGGGATGTAAAATTTTGATTATTTGTCTAAGGTGCGGCCGCTCTCCTGTGCAGTATAGCTGTCCCTCCGATAAGCCCCCTCCATTCCCATGTTATGGAAAACAATTGATTCCAGGCACATCCCATTTTCCTGGCACAATCAAAGCCAGACCTACCTTTAAAAGGTCACATTGGTGGTCCTAGCTCTTACCGTTTAGGACTAGGGATGTAAAATTTTGATTATTTGTCTAATAATCCACGCGGTGTTTCGAAGCCACAGTGCCACATGGAGTCCAGGGTCAGCAGGAGAGACCTCAGCTGACCCCAGGCTTCACGTAGTGCTGCTGCTTTTAAATGCCACATGCAGCCAAGGGCCAGCTGGGGACCTCGGGCTGCACGTGGCATTTCAAAGCTGCAGTCCCTGGGCTCCACGTGGCACTGCCACTTTGAAGTACTCCCTCCTCTTTCTTCCCTCACCCATGCCTCTTTTTGATACAGGCAGCAAGGTGGGGGGAAGTGACTAGTCAACTATCCAATAGGCATTTGATTATCAGCTAGTAAGCCAGCTGATTGGTGTATGTTGTCTCTTTGGAATCAGCAGAGATGGTATTCCTGTAAGCATCTAGTGGCAGAGCTATCCCTATTTAGGACTGTGGTGTCCAACCAGTTTTGAAGCAGTAGCCACTACAGCAGCTACTGCTATAGCGAGTTAGCCACACTCAACCGTCCAAATAGCCACATGTGGCTAGTGGCTAGTGTGTTGGACACAATGGGTGTAGGAGGAGTTCTTGAACAAACAGACTTGCAGACACACAGACTCACTGACTCAGACGCATAAATCTCTAATCTTCTATAATATATAAAGGAGAATGTTTGTATGTTCGTGCTTTAATAACTTGGACACTATAAGAGCTACTGCAACCAAACTTTGCATGGGATAACCTTTCATCCAGAAGAAGGTTTTAAAGTACTGTGGGAAGGAAAAGACTGTGGGACTGTGGGACTGATGCCTCTCCTCGGGGCTGCATGGAGCATGGCAGTGCAGGGAGAAGCGGCTTCCTGGGGGAAGCGGTGGGGACAGTCATTCACTAAGGCCAGCGGAGGGACAAGGAAGTGGAGGGTGGGCTCGGGTGCCGGCAGCAGGCGCACAGCTCCCTTCCCCCTCCCTCCCCTCAGACTCCTCACCTCAGTTATATCAACTTTTCCGAGCAACACCGGGTAACTCCAGCTAGTGTGTATATATATATATTGAGAGAGAGATACAAAATGACATAAAAGTTTATTATCTCACCTGGCTAAAGCACTAGTCTTTATTAGCTGCTTTTGGAGGGTGGGAGATATGGGGTGCTGTTGTTTCCAGTGTTGGAAATGATACAGTATTATTGTTTCCTCCATCCACTCTAAGGAGGAATGAAAGAATCCCAGGCTTGACTTAGAGACTGTAATATAAGGACCTAACTAAAATAGGATAGAGTCCCTTGCAGGAGTGGTATTTTAAGATGTTTTGCATATCTCCTCATTTATTGTGTTCTCTTCTGTGTTAGGGTGGCCAGGAGAAGAGTGGCTAGAGCTCCCTACTGCCATGGGGGCACAGGACCGGCCTCAGTGTTTCTTTGACATAGAAATCAATCGGGAACCAGGTAAGATTTGGGGGTTTGTGTGACAACTATTCATTTATTTATATGTTTGCTCAGGTTTCTGCTTTAGATATTGGATAGGCTCTGACCACTGATTTAGGCAATCAGCGTTTTTCTTGTGGGTTTGATCAACTGGACTTAAGATCCTTAATATTTTTAGTAGTTGAATATTCTTTGCAGTTAGTTGTAGTACCATGGATTTTTTTTCTTTAACCAGATTTTTCCCTGCAGAGGTGAGATAGGATTAATGCTCAGTATTTTGAAGGTGAAAACGACTGTGTGGTAAATACAAATATAGTATCGTGTATGTTGTTTTGTTGTATTTTCAAGAATGTGTGTACAAACAAAGCAAACTAGAAAGTGAAGAAAACTGATGAGGTGATTGGGGATGTGATGGAGCTTTATTTGTTAAAGTTCTTAAAGTTACTTATCACTGTTAAAGGTAAGTGCCATTAGTGGATTGTCTAAGAGGTCCTTTCCATATGTAGCTCGTCCTTACTTTTGAGAATCTATATGGTCTACCAGTTGTGGAAGATCTGAGTACTAGTCCCAGTTTATGCAAAGGGAGTTTCTTCACTGTCATTCTCAATTTCCTGATCTATAAAGCGGTAGTATTTTATGTATCTACCTCACTTTTATGACGATTAATGTTTGTAAAGCACTTGGAATTTTTAAAGTGCTGTTTAAATATTGTGATACTATTATTCACCATCCCAACGCACATCCAAAAATAAACATTTTAAAGGGCAACAGCTCCTTTTATTTTCATTTTCTCTCTCTCCCCATTTCCATGAAAGCCTTTAAATTTAGAAATATCACTAGAATAAGAGTTCTCTTTTTATACTTCTAAATATCTGCCATCTTCACGTGCATATTGAACCCATTTGGTTTGCTTTCACTCTTCCCTAAAACCTTCAGGAACAAAGGTGTAATTCTTTTCAATAGCTTGTTACAAGAATAAACTTACTGCAACGTAACTCAGAGCTGTATTATAAGTTCACACTAATGTACATTTTCTACATTCAGTTTCTGAACAGAATTTTAAAATCCCAGAACTTTTGTTGTCATACAAAAGTCACAGTTGTCCTTAACTTTAAATCCACTCTTGTCATAGGATGGAAGCAGTTAAAAAAAATCAGATTCAGAAATTGATGGTGGGAGGCAGGTTACAATTCTGCATTATTGCGTTCCAGTTTAAATGTGTTAGTTAAATGGATTTGCAATAGAAGGAAACACAATGCAATTTCCACCCAAAAACTTTGCTCATGGATTCTTGATTTTCTTCCCTCTTCATTTCTCTTTTCCTGGGATTTTAGTTTGAACCTCATTCTATTCTAATCACCCCTACCTTATTAAGCCTTCTTTTTCCAACTCCACTTGTTTCTTGTTTGCTTTCTGGCCACTTCCTCAGTGAAGTGTTTACATTCACAAGAGGCCTTCAGTGGCTGACAAGATAAGGGAGGCCTAAACTGCTGCCCCTCTCTTAGTGTACGAAATAACTAGTGTTATTTCAAAATAACTTAACTGCCTGCTGTGTAGACACAGACTATTTCAAAATAATGTCAAAATATTGTCAAGCTGGAGGACTTCTTACTCCAACTTCTGTAACCCTCATTGTATGAGGAGTAAGGGAAGTTGGAGGAAGAGTGCTCTATTTTGAAATAAGTGCTGTGTAGACACTCCCAATTTTGAAATATGCTATTTCAAAATAAGCTACCCAATTAATTTAGCTCAATTTGCATAGCGTATTTCAAGTTAAGACCTGCTGTGTTGATGCACCCTTAAAGATTACCTAATATTGGTGGTGCAAATGGAGAAAGGTTGGATATGAATCCATTTTCTTTCAATTCAGATGTTATTTGCTGTACTGAAGAGAAATGGGGCTTGAACTAGGGATGTTAAATATCAGTTAATTGAATAGTCAACTAACCTCATGAATTCTTATTGGTTAGTCAACTATTCTGTAGTTCCCGGGGGACTGGTCCACCAGCCAGTGTGCACCAGCTTCACTCCCGAGGAACCCCCTGCCACTCTGCGCTGCTGCCTCTGATACAGATGCAACAGTGCAGGGTGCTAGGCAGGATCTGGTCCATGAGAGAAGCCAGTTTAAAAACCAATTCCCTCGTGGGGGTGCTAGGAAGGATCTGGTCCACGAGAGAAGCCAGTTTAAAAACCAGTTCTCTCGTGCACCGGTTGCCTGTCACCTTGTGCTACTGCTTTTGATAGTGTGGCAGCAGTCCCTGTCTAGTGGGGATCTGAGCTCCTGGATCCAGTGTGAGCCAGAACTGAGCCAGGCTGCCTACCCACCTACCTCCTAAAACGCTTTAAATGCAAAGCCACAGCAAGGGTAGGTCCCAGACTCATCACAAGCCAGGACTGAGCCGGCCTGCTGGCCAGCCTGCTAAAAAATTTATGGAGAGAGATGTGTGTAGTTTATAGCATTAACCTTATAAGCTTTTGCTTATTGGTTAATTGGTTTATTGACTACACTATTACACCCCTAGCTTTAACCTCTTTGAGTGGTATGACATAATTTGTTCCATCTTTAAAGTGAAATAATCTTCACAACTGCACAATAAATGTAATACTCGGCTGTACTTATTGCAATTGGGTAATGTCTCCGTATGCAAATGAAGGCCATGCTGACTTAGCATACTGAGCTAACATTAAGATCAGGGATGATGTATAATGTGATTAAGCAGCAAGGTATATTGGTACATAATTGTCCTTTCTGAATATATCACTTAATTGTAGTTCAGAATCTTAACTTTCTTTTAAAATGAAAGTCTACACTGACAGATGTAAAGCGCTGGCACTTACAGCACTGCTCACAGAGCACAGCAGTGAAACCACTATTGTGTGTTCATACTGTCAGTTGCCAGGGTTGATGGGGAGTATGGCACAGATCTTGCTTTGCGTAAGAGCTATGACATGAGATTCACAGAGGTGCTTACCACAATGGAACTCACTTTTGGGCTTGGGAAACAAGCACTGAGTGATGGGATCACCTTGTCATGCAAGTCCAGGAGCAGTGGCTGCAGAACTTTTGAATGAGGAAAGTCACTTTCATGGAACCCTCCTCCCCCCCAACCTGTGGCAGAAGGACATGAGAATGAGAGCTGCGCTGCTGGAGGAAAATTGTGTGGCAATTGCACTGTGGAAGCTAAGGATGTTAAGGACTAGTAGATTCCCTCCCCCATCTGCCTCTATCAGATAGAGGCAGCAAAGGGGGTGGGGAAGAAAGAGTACTTCAAAGTACTGCACTGCACAGCTGAGTCGGGGATCAGCTGTGTGGCGTTGCTGCTTTGAAACCCCAAGGCGGCGTTTCAAAGGGGCAGTGCCATAGAGACCGGGGTCAGCTGAGGACTCCCTAGCTGACCCCGGGTTCCATGCAGCATTTCCCCAGTACCCAGGGTCAGCTGCTGTGGTCTTGAACAGAATTGAATCTAGGAGCATATTAAGTGTGATCCTGGGAGATCCTGCCTACCCCTTAATGCTATCGCTCATTAAGCCATACATTGGGAGCCTTGACAGTAACAAAGAGTGGTTCAGTAACAGGTGGAGTGGGTGCAGAATGACAGTGGAGTGTGCTTTTGGTGGTGTTTGTATGGGAAGCTGGATCTCGCCATCTTTGAGCTTTTAGCTTCATGCTGTGTACCTTCCATAATATTTGTGAAGGGCAGGGTGAAAGTTTTGCTTGAGGCTGGACCTCTTAGGCACAGTGCCTAGAGGCTGAGTTTGAATAGCCTGAGATCATGCTATTAGAGAAGCACAGAATGGGGCCATAAGTATCAGGGATGTCTTGAGGCAGACATTTGATGCTGAAAGTCAGTAATATTTGTTGCCATGCATGGGAATATATATCCAGTGTTACTAAGGTGTTATTGTGATTGGTCCATACAATGCAATTATTGATAAAGTGACCATTGCTTTGCTTTCTTTTCTTGCTTTCATGCAGTAAAATAGAGATTGCTTTGAAACACAAGAATTTCATTTATTAAAAACAACACAAGTAGAACACACGTGCAGCATGACATACCTGCATTTTCTGCAGGGGGAGGAGGTAAGGTCCCAAGATGTTTACAGATTTGTATATATATCCAGGTTGCATATGCAGCCCTGCTATCTCATGTGCTCTGCAATGGGGCTTGCAGTTCATCAAAGCTAAACTGCACAGGGATAAAGGTTAAATGAATTGGGTGCCTGCGGGAGTCTGCAGGATGGAAGGTGACAGGGAGAAGGTGTGGAGTGCGGTGGGTTTTAGCTGGAGACAAGGTGGTGGCCAAATTGTGTTGATGATAACAGGGGGATCTATGGAAAACAGTTTTGGGACACCAGCTGCAGAGGTGGAGAGGCAGTCACCCAGCTGCTCTGTCTGAAGTATTAGCAGTGCCTGGAGTGTGTTTGCTTGGTGTTCTATAATGTTTGAGAGTTGCTCCATATTCTCTTTCCTGTCACTGTCTCCCTTCACTACTTTAATTCTTTCTTTTTAGCTGCAGCCTGAATCATAACATCACACAGAAAGTTCTCTTGACTTTTATGAAGCCACTTTCTTGTTCTGCCTGTGATTGTAAGGCAGGCTGTCATCCTAAAGTAAATCTGTGAAGATAAACTGCAACAATGTTACAGAGGGACCATTGTTAACACTAAACAGAGCTCCCACAACCCATTTTAAACACAGGCACTGTTCATATACCTGTCACTGACTTGCATCCCAGGGTGAATGTACATAAGACATGAGATCCCAAAAATGGTGAGTTAACCATCGGAGCAGGGGAATTCTTTGGTGCAAAGCCATACTCTGGGCACATGTGACTGGGGAAAGCACTGCCTGGGGCTCTATCATTATTAATGGCCATACATTTTCCACATTCTGTGTTTATCCTGGAAGACATTTCGCTACGTAGGGTGAGCAGGGAAGCAAGGGAGGGTTTTTTTAAGCAACTGTGGATTCTGTCTGGGCCCGTATGTGTCTTACTTTTATGTAGCAATCCCTCCTCCCCCACATACACACACTTAGAGCACAGTAGCAAGGGAATGTTACCCTTAATGGGACAGTGAACATAGCTGCCCTGCCAAGAAACCTGCAAGGGTGGATTGCCCAGCAGCAGCATGACACTTTTGATGAGGTCTGTGAGGACAGTTACTGTGAAGTGAGAGATTCCATCAACATCCTGTTCAGCAACCAAGTAGCCTTGTGTCAATAGCAGCATTACAGAGTCCCAAGCCTGCTTTCTGCCACCCGCCCACTCCCAGCAACTCTGTTCAGTGCTTTCAGAAATCAAAGCCACTTACCAGGCATCTGCTCTTTGTGCTTCTCGACCTCCAAACTCAAAGTATCTCATCCAACTTTTTTGTAGAACCAGCAGGTCATGACGGCAACACCAGAGCGATGGTTTTCTTCCCACGCCTTGTGGTATGTGTTCTTTGATCCTGCAGTGTAATGTGTCCCACTCATAGCCCCTTTTGGTCATGCATCTTGATATCTGCCTGTAGATACCATAATTCCTACAGCTGGAGTGCAGATGGGTGTGGACAATCCACTCTCCCCAAACACTGATGAGGTCCAACATGTCAACATGGCTCCAAATGGAGGATCGCCTGGTGAGTGGAGCAGACCTGGTCACCTGAAAAGATGCTATGAAAGTATACTACATGTCACTGAGCAAACAGAAAGGGGATTTTCAAATAAATTAATGGAGATTGCCTATCTCCCAGAACTGGAAGGGACCTTGAAAGGTCATCGAGTCCAATCCCCTGCCTTCCCAGCAGGACCAAGTACCATCCCTGACAGTTTTGCCCCAAATCCCTAAATGGTCTCCTTGAGGATTGAACTCACAACCCTGGGTTTAGCAGGCCAATGCTCAAACCACTGAGCTATCCTTCCCCCCTCAAAATTCCCAAGGAATGGTAAGGTTGGATAGGAGGGTTGGTCATTTGAGAGCAGGGCAGTATAGTTCAACAGATGACCAGAGAAGTGAGAACAAGCATTGTGGGACACACATCAGAGGTCAGTCACAGCTCAGCAATACTCCGTGCTGGCACCCCAGCACTGTAGCCACTGTGCAGCGAAGATCCCAACTTTGCAATATCAGTACTGTGATTGTTACGGGATCTTGTTTGAAATTAGATCAATATTGCATTTATTTGAATACTCACATCACCCTTTGAAATCTAATATCCATCTATTTTCCTCTTTTCATGATATTCAAAATATGAATTAAATATAAACTATACAATGATGTCTTCCTAAATCTGTAGGTGGCTAGAAACAATGGCTCTGAGAGATGTGTACTGCCCTGTTCATATCAGAGAGATTCAGTAATCTGATGACTCTTGAAACATCAAAATTACCTATTTAGCTGTGGGTGACTTTGGCAAAAACAGTTACTTTGCTTATTCATCATTATTGGATCTAGCAGGGATGTTGGGACACGGTGGACTGATATCTAATTATCATCAAAAGTTGCTGTGGTGGTGAGCAAGACATCACTCCCTACTCACAAATATGCACAGAAATTTTAAAGTGATCTTTCTGTCACAAAAACAGGGAAGATAAGATGAGAAGCATCCTTTCAGTTTTGGTTGCCTCCTGGGTACTAAAACCAATAATAATAACACATATGCTTTCTTGGGTGCCCAAAGCCTCAATCCGTCCTCACATCCAAAACCTTAAGCTTTCCCCTGACATATATTACAAGTCAGTAGTATTGACAGGATATTGGCAGTAATTGAAGAAATGGGAGTAATATAAAACAAAAATTGAGTTTAAAATAAAAATAAAGAATACTGTATTGATTGGTCAGGAAGGCAGTGTGGTGGGGAGAGAGTTTGCGTGGAGTTCTTTGCCACAGAGTTTGGTCTTTATGATATACTACTGTATATGAGGGTGGAGGTCCCTATACAAATAGATACCTCCTGTTTTTTTTTTTTTAGCTACAGGATCTTGAAATGAAATCTTTTAATCCATGTATTTGTCTTGTGCTGTGGGTGGCCTTTATTAGCATCATTTGGAGGTTAGTATTTTTCAGTGCATCCTGAAATTTTATCAGAGGGGTAGCCATGTTAGTCTGAATCTGCATAAACAACGAGAAGTCCTGTGGCACCTTATAGACTAACAGATTTATTGGAGCATAAGCATTCATGGGAAAAGACCCACTTCGTCAGAGGCATCCTGAAATTTGTTCCTGAAATTTGAGTTACTCAGAATAAGTTTTCTCTGATATTTTCTTTATTTTTGTTTGGCATGTTTTTTCTGCACTTATTGCAAAATAAATTGTAAATATAAGCATGTTTGAGAACTTTGCATTTGACAGCAATGCAGACAGCTATTAATAGTGTAGTATATTTGTTCTTGATATGCTTTTTACTTTTTTGCAAATGTCTTGGAAAAATACACTTTTTAAATAATGCAAAATATGTATTTATAGGGCCAGATTAGTTGTTGTACCTATTTTCCTGAATAGTCCAAAACATGCATAGTTGAATAACTCCATTTGACATAGAATAATAATAGATATTATTATTATTAGACCATGTTAGTCTGGTCTAGCTGAAACAAAAAACAGGACTGACCATGTGAGTCTGGTCTAGCTGAAACAAAAAACAGGACTATGTAGCACTTTAAAGGCTAACAAGATGGTTTATTAGGTGATGAGCTTTCGTGGGCCAGCCCCACTTCCTCAGATCAAATTGTGGAAGAAAATCGGCACAACCATATACACCAAAGGATACAATCAAAAAAATGAACACATATGAAAAGGACAAATCAAATTTCAGAACAGAAGGGGGATGCTACATAGTCCTGTTTTTTGTTCCATTTGACATGGTATTTAGATTGTGTTTTTAAACATATCAAAGGAATATAAAGCACTTGATAGGAGTGTGTGGGGGTTTTCTCTTTATATGCTCACTCACACAAGTTTTAATAACTTACATGGCAGTGCTGAACAATGTTTCCCCTGATTTATTTTCCCCCGAGAAGCTGAATAAGCCCAGACTTAATACTTATGGCCATAATCCCTTCATCCTCCAGAAAACATACTGTAGTTGCTATTATTTGCTCTGTCTCACTCCTGCTCTCTCTCTTAAAATCTAGTGAACTTTCCTTATTAATGATCTTTTCTCTCAATCTCTCTCTCATGTGTTTTCATTCATTTCCTCATTGTAGCATTGTATGAAAGAGATGGAATAGGGAGGTCTCCTTTGTGGGTTGATTTGATAAATTTTTGGGACAAGCACAGTATCTTTCACTGTTTTATATGTGGAGCCAGGCTCACTGTTAGCGCTTCATGAAAGACCATAGAGATTTGAGATGAAGCATAAAAGCAAATTGTGGTTAGGAACATAGCAGCTGAAGGCAACAAATTAAACAGAGTTTTAAGCAAAAGCTAGAGATAGAATAAGATTGATTACTGTAGTCTCTCATCTAATTTATTCTGTTTATTCTGAAAAAGAGTAATTTCTGATGGCCTTAGTTGCCTTCAGGTAAAACACAAACACATTTACATTTGTGGGCAGCACAAAAGAGGGAAGCATTTATTGGCGATGGGGTTAGTGCAGAAAGCTGTGGAAGGAAGATGTTTTTGTGGTGCCTTAGGTTGCTTCAGAGAATGCAGGTTAAGAAAGAAGAAAAGAATAACTATTGAAGTGTTGCTTTTCCCTCAAATGCCTGATTAGATGGAGATGGAGCAATTTTTTAAACAAATAATGATTTGAAGCTATTCTATTCTCTTAATAGAATAACTTATTGTGTAAAAGGAAAAGTAGCCATTCTTTCACTTATTGCAATTACATTTTTTGTTTTGGTTAACCTTTTATTCCCATGAATCTCAAACTGAGGGATATGTTCTAATCATGCCTATGTCTTTTATTAAAATATTTAAACTTAGCTTCAGATCGTGTGTGGTCTCAGGCTTCTGGCAGGCTGCCATTACGACACTCTTAGTGCAACAAAGGTTATACCACTATCTTGACATTAGGAGCCTATACTTTATTATGAGCCTCTTTATGAATGGTAGGAGGAGTATGCTGTAATATTCCTTATGCAGGTTTAAACCTCTTTAGTATGGCACCCTTGGGACCTGAGTGAGGCTGAACCAGAAAATTTGCTGAACCACAGCAGGTCAATATTGTCTAGCAGCATTTGTAACACTTTCACTGTTTACTGGGTTCTTAGAAGACATTTAAGGATCAATTAGAGCTAAATACCAGCACAGAACACTGAGAGCCTGGACTGGTCGCTATAAATAAACTTTATGGGACCACGGGAAACTTGGCCACTCCCATGGTAAGTGGACATCTGGCTAACTAAAATCATGCCGGACCACATACGTTGCTGGACTAGAGAGGTTCAATTTGTACACTGTTTGTCTCAAGAAGATTTTGAAAGGTGGGTAACAGGGAGATTTGCAGCTCGGATTGGATGAGAGAGTTCACTATGAAGGATTTAACCAATAAGCAATTGCTTATTAGTTAACAATCCCAGTTCTCTTCAACAATTCCTTCCCCCTGTGTGTTCTGCATTTAAAACTCTGACAGGCAGGTTGGCTCAGTCACAGCTTGCCGGTCCAAGTTTTCAATGAAGAGCATGCAGGAAAGCCGCCTGCCACCCTTTGCTGCTGTCTCTGATACGGAGTTGGTAGCACATGGCGGCACGCGGGAGCCACTCTGTGCAGGGAGCCCACCAGCTGTGCCTGTCCACAGGGGGCCCAAGCTCCCTTTGGACGGAGGACACCCTCCCACGGACAGGGGCTGCTGCTATCCTGCACTGTTGCCTCTGATACAGGCGCGCTTTCTGGTCTGGTCTTGATAGAGATACAAGAGATACAGAGATGGTAGGCAGGAGCTGGTCTGTGTGAGGAGCTGGTCGTTAAACTGGCTCCCTGCAGAGACCAACTCCTGTCTGCCACCCCATGATGCTGTCTCTGATACAGAGGAAGTAGCATGGTGTAGCAAGAGCTTCCCGGGAGTGAAGCTGGGAGTACACTGGCTTCCTGCCCTGCCCCCGAGGGCATTGACTAACTGTAACTGGTACGAAATGTAGTGGTTACACGATTATTGAAATAACTACTTTCTAACATCCCTTGTCCATAGTAAATCTTTCAGTATCCAGAATTTGCTATTCAAGTTGTATGGTTAGTCATCAAGTCATGTGATATGTTTTCTGTTCTCCAGTTGTATGATCTAATCTTTATAACAGGAAGATAAATTAGAAAAATTGTCAGGGTGTCAATTCAGTCAGAAGTAAGGAGGGAGCACTTGAGAGAGAGAGAAGATAGACAGGCTTAGGAAAATTGAAGACACTATATATTTTTTTTCTTTCCTACTGTGTGAGAGAGAGCACCTTTATATGTGGCTGTGGACTCTAGGTTTAAAAATGGGTTCCTTCATGTCCCAGGGAGAGAGAAAGATAAAAGTTAAGTTTATTAGCTGTTGAAAAGATTTCACATTCAATTTTTGCTTGTTAGATTAATACCAATAATTGTGTATTTATGCTTTATCAGTAAAGGTTGCTGTCAGATGCTTGTGTGGCTTACTTTTTTCTCTGTGTTGGTGAGGGTTTGGGTTTTTTTACATTGACAGATGATAAAACCTGTGCAACT